TAGTGTCTCAACTTTTATAATGATCTTCTTTTTTCATGGCTCGTCTCTTATAATGGATCTTCTTTTATAGTGGATCATCTTTTATAGTGGATCCCAAAGTAACTATAGAGGTCGCAGGGGTCGCAATTGCAACCTGGCCCCATGTCAGGGGGCCTGTGCGGGGGCAGCGAGGGGGTGGCATATAGTGGAACCAATGCCCTGTATTTTGCTACTGCAGCTACTGAGTGCTTGCAGGAGGGAGGGGAAGAGAAGTAGGCATTCAGCAGCTGCAATAGCAAAATGCAGGGCATCGGTTTCACTATATGCCACCCCCACTGCCCCTCCTATCCTACCTGGTGCTGGGTGTTTCATGCTGATCTGCCTCCCAGCTCTGCCCCCTGACTCCAGCTCCCGCTTCTTGCCTCTGGGCTGTTCCTGCCAGGCAGCCTAGAAGATTCTGTATGTTCTCTGGTACAGCAATGCTTGGCTCCTGAGCGAGAGTACTGTGTTTAAGTGTCCTACTGCAACACAGCCCCTCCACATGTCATACAGCCTCCCTCCTGGCACACTGCCCCCCCATTTATCACAATTCCCCCCACCTGTCACACTGTCCCCCCTCCTGTCACAATACCCCCCTTTCATACTGCCCCCATCACACAGTCCCCCACCTGTCACAATACCCCCCTACACACTGCCCCCCACTTATCACACTACCTCCCCACCTTCCATACTGCCCCCTCCTGTCACAATACCCCCCTTTCATGCTACCCCATCACACTGCACCCTTCTTATCACATTGCCCTTCTCCTGTCACACTTCCCAGTTACCCTTGTCACACTGCCCCCCTCTTATCCCCCCCGCCCTTTCATAGTGCCCCCCTGCTGTCACACTGCCCCTCTCCTGTTATACTGCCCCATCACACTGCCCCCCCTCTTGTCACACTGCCCCCCTCTTATCCCCCGCCCTTTCATAGTGCCCCCCTGCTGTCACACTGCCCCTCTCCTGTTATACTGCCCCATCACACTGCCCCCCCTCTTGTCACACTGCCCCCCTCCTTTCACAAGGCTGTCTCCTGTCACACTGCCCCTCCCCATCATACTGCCCCCCTCCTGTCATACTGCTCCCCTTCTGTCACACTGCCCCTCTCCTGTACACTTCTAAGGTACCCTTGTCCTGTCACACTGCCCCCCCCCCCCCCCTCGTCAAACACTGCCCACCTTTCATTGTGCCCCCCTCCTGTCACACTGCCCCCCCCTCGTCAAACACTGCTCACCTTTCATTGTGCCCCCCTCCTGTCACACTGCCCCTCCCTAACGTATTGCCCCCCATCACGCTTCCTCCCTCTTGTAACACTTTACCCCTCATTTCATAGTGCCTGTCTCCTGTCACACTGTCCCCACTCCTGTCACACTTCTCAGGTACCCTTCTCCTATCACACTGCCCTCCTTCTGTCACATTTCCCAGGTTCCTTTCTTCTGTCACACTGCCCCCCTCTTCTGTCACAATGACCCCCTCTTCTATCACACTGCCCAGGTACCCTTCTTAGATGTGGTGGCTGCATTGGTTTTCTTTTTTAGACTTTTTTTTATTTTCATCTGGTGATCTGCCTAGTAAGTCTGTTATTTTTCAACAGAACAAGCCCTCTTGCAGATGTAGCAGTTAGAGAGATATGACCAACCCTGTCCTACTGACAGGGGTGCTTACAATGATCAACTTTTATTTCTTTATGTAAAACCTTTATCCCAAAAGGAACAAAACTGTTGCTGTAACTGATTATAAAGTATGAGCTGGAGTTTGGCTTCAGTTAGTTAGTATTTCTAAAGCTCGTAGTACTTTTAACACTCCCCTTCCACCAGGCTGAAGGTCCCCCCTATGCTCCTTCATCCAGAGTGGTGACACCCCTGACTCCAGCTCCTGCTTCTTGCCTCTAGGATGCTCCTGCCAGGTAACCTAGAATATTCTGTATATTCTCTGTTCTGTTGAAAGTCTGCAGTCTGTGAAAACTTTCTATAGCAATCCAGATGATTGATATCTTTTTAACACAGGAGCTTTTGAAGGGGGAGGTGGGTGAATCATCTGCAATTCTCTGAGAATTACTCACATAAATTCTGAAACCTAAACAAGAAAATGATTTTAACTGTATTACTGCTCAGTTATCTATATGCATATGTAAGGTATACTGTGCTGTAATGCCCTAGACTAGAGGTTAGCCACAGAGGCTGTTTATTGTTTTTTTAGGCAGAGGCTAATGGGTAGCCTGGGTAGTGAGGTTACCACAGGACAGGCAGGAGGCTCTAACAGGTCAGGACTTTTGGAGCCCTCCCAACTTTCCAGAAACCTGAGAGCTTTGTGGAACATGGGTGGAGAAGGGGAGGAAGCCCAGATCTGCCTGTTTGAGGGACCTTGGCCAATCCCCTGGCATGGTGACCAGTACAACCCATAAAAGTAGTAGAGCTTGTGCAGCAGTGGTCAGTGTTGGGTGGAAGATAGACTGAGGAGGGCTGGAGTATGGAGCCTGGGAGGGAGTGGACAGTGTGAGTATTTATTTTTTACAGGTACTTACATAGCGCAGTCAATTTACGCAGCACTTTACATATATGTTGTACATTCACATCAGTCCCTAACCCTCAAGGAGCGTACAATCTAAGGTCATTCATACATACACATACTAGGGCGAATTTTGACAGGAAACAATTTACCTACCAGTATGTCTTTGGAGTGTGGGAGGAAACCCAGAGGAGACCCACACAGGCACAGGGAGAGGATGAAAACTCCAGGCAGGTGGTACCGTGGCTGGGATTTGAACTAATGACCCTAGTACTGCCAGGCGGAAGTGCTAACCATTTAGCCACTGTGCTACTAGTTCCTCATCCAGGACTGTTCTAAATCTACAGCTCTTGGGCCCCCTTGCTCAGGCATATCCTCAGGCAGTGGAGTGAAGATTAATCTGGGGTCTGAGGAGGTACACCAAAGAGCTTTAAATGCTCTTAGAGGAGAGACTGTTTGTGCCCGCATTTATGTATATAGTTCTTCTAAGCTGTTTACACTTCCTTGGGCATCCCGTATATCTCTAGACCACATCCAAGTTGCTAACCCCTTTAATAAAACAACAAAATCAAGCTCAAGGACAGTTTACTGTTCCAGTATGCAAAGTGTGGAAGAAAATGCGTGTTACCTGGCTGTGCAGAGCTTCAGGGGGACCCAAAACTCAGCAACTCCTAAGGAGATAGTGATTTTATATATATATATATATATATATATATATATATATATATATATATTTATATACATATACACACTGCTCAAAGAAATTAAATTCGGAACACTTTTTAATCAGAGTATAGCAACAAGTCAATAATACTCCTATGATATACTGTAGATCTGGTCAGTTAAGTAGCAGAGGGGATTGTTAATCAGTTTCAGTTGCTTTGGTGTTAATGAATTTAACAACAGGTGCACTAGATGGGCAACAATGTGACGACCTCCAAAACAGGAACAGTTTTACAGGTGGAGGCCACTGACATTTTTTCCCCTGCTCATCTTTTCTGACTGTTTTTCACTAGTTTTGCATTTGGCTAAGGTCAGTGTCACTACTGGTAGCATGAGGCGATACCTGGACTCTACAGAGGTTGCACAGGCAGTCAAACTCTTCCAGAATGGCACATTAATATGTGCCATTGTCAGAAGATTTGTTGTGTCTCTCAGCACAGTCTCAAGAGCATGGAGGAGATTCCAGGAGACAGGCAGTTACTTTAGGAGAGCTGGACAGGGTCGTAGAAGGTCCTTAACCCATCAGCAGTACCGGTAGCTGCTCCTTTGTGCAAGGAGGAACAGGATGAGCACTGCCAGAGCCCTATAAAATGACCTCCAGCAGACCAATGGTGTGAATGTCTCTGACCAAATAATCAGAAACAGACTTCATGAGGGTGGCCTGAGGGCCCGACATCCTCTAGTGGGCCCTGTGTTCACTGCCTGATACCATAGATCTCGATTGGCATTTGCTATTGAACAGCAGTATTGGCAGGTCCGCCACTGGTGCCCTGTGCTTTTTACAGATGAGAGCCGGTTCACCCTGAGCACATGTGACAGATGTGAAAGGGTCTGAAGAAGCCATGGAGAATGTTATGCTGCCTGTAGCATCGTTCAGCATGACCGATTTGGTGGTGGGTCAGTGATGGTCTGGAGAGGCATATCCATGGAGGGACACACAGGCCTCTACAGGCTAGACAATGGCACCCTGACTGCAATTAGGTATCGGGATGAAATCTCCCTTGGACCCACGCTAGTGCAGTGGGTTCTGGGTTCCTCCTGGCGTATGACAATGTCCAGCCTCATGTGGTGAGAGTATGCAGCCAGTTCCTGGAGGATGAAGGAATTGATACCATTGAATGGCCCCCATGCTCGGCTGACCCAAATCCAATAGAATACCTCTGGGATATCATGTTTCAGTCCATCTGAAACCACCAGGTTGCACCTCAGACCTCAGTGATGCCCTGGTCCAGATCATGGAAGAAATACCCCAGGACACCATCCGTCTTCTCATTAGGAGCATGCCCCTATGTTGTCAAGTATGCATACAAGCATATGGGGGCCATACAAACTACCATTTTGAGTTGCTGCAATGAAATTTCAGCAAAATGGACTAGCCTGCTGCATAATTTTTTCATTTTGATTTTCGGGGTGTCTTTGAATTCAGTCCTCTGTAGATTGATCATTGTCATTTCTCTCAACAATGGGGCACTAACATATTACCCAGTCCATATCAGTATAGACATCCAGCACAATATTTTTCCTCATTGAGATCTGATGTTTTTAAAGTGTTCCTTTAATTTTATTGAGCAGTGTATACATTATATATATGTGTATATATATATATATATATATATATATATATATATATAGAGATATATATATAGATATATCTATATATTGTGGCAGTACGGTATCCTGCCACGATGGAAATCATGATGGACACCCAGGATTCTCAACTATACCGGTTGAGGGGCTCCAGGCAGATCTCATAATGCAGAGGAAACTGGTTTATCAGTTTCCTCTTTGGTTTGTAAAGCCTGTTTTGGGACCTGTAGCCTGGAGATTTCTTAGAGATTTGGGAGGGATGAAATCTCCAATCCTGGGCCCATATTTTGGGAGCAGCCAGCGTGCTGATTGCACAGGTGTGTGCAGCCCTTTTAGGGGAGGCCAGGCCATAATTCTGGGCTTCACCCCGGAAAACGGAGTCAGGAGGGCTCCACCCCGGCAGTTAGGAGTCAGGAGGGCTCCACCCCGGCAGGCAGGAGGTCACTGCCTTGGAGTCAGGTGGGCTTCACCAAGGAGAGGTGGAAGCCAGACTAGCTGTGTGCTAGACGTTTGCTGTGTGTGCAAAAACCAACCTTTTGGAAGGAGTCTGCAGGAGACAGACATAGAGTGGTATCCCTGAGAGAGCCAGAAGGCCGAGTATTGTTTTATTTGTGTGATGGTGGAAAACCCTGCACAGGAAACCTTTATGTTACAGGACTTTCATTTAAATAAAAGTGGGCAAAGAGGCCCTTAAAAATAAGCGAGTTGCCGTGTGCTTTGAAGAAGCTCTACCACTAGAAGCGAGTTCCCACAATATATATACACACACATTATATATAATCCACACACACAGATTCCATTGTATCTATCTTTATGGCAGTGTAATGAGGTGTAGGGAGATGTGGTAAATAATTATATGTTGAAATGATGATGACTGTATAAAATAATTATTTTGGTTGAGAAGTAATCATAATCTAATGTCCTTTCTACCTTACCAGCTTCTAAAATTAATTTTTCAGGACACATTTAAAATACCCATATTTTGGGCCATATACTATATTGTACAATAACTGCAACCATGTCAGAAAAAAGGATAATATTAAAGTGTACTGGAGTGCCCATTTATACACCATGCCCAGATGCAAACGGAAGCCCCTTTAACTTCATTTCCCATAACACCTTGGGTTGCTGCAAATGTCCAGGGAGTATATATTCCTGAGCTTCCTCAGGATGTCTTGAAGGCCACACTTGATGAAGCAGAAGTACCTAGGCAAGTGATCTGTAGCAAGGTGAGTGAGGCTCCACTGTCTCAACCAGCATGCAGTCAACTTTGTAGGTGCCTAATAGCATGCAGCTTTTCTGGAAGACCCAGCTAGACAGAGGCTTCAGATGTGTACTCTAGTTCCAGTAGGGTGGCCCCTCTGTGTTCTCAGTAATTAGCAATACATGTCTGCACACCACTATTAACTACACCAGGGCTCAAAATTTCAAGTCCTGAACTAATAGCCATGCCTTAGCAACTTGCTACTAATTGCTATTATCAGCCAGAATCCTCTTGTCCTGGCCAGGTGGAGTAGTTTGAAGTATATGCAGTCATCTTCTAATGGTTGATCTGTTTAGAATCTTGTTCTGCACATGGAACTGGCTGTCAGAGAAATTGTGGTACCACTTAGGCAGACAGTTTAAAAGTTGATTAGAACAACGTAAGTGCTTGATCAAGCAGTTTCTGCCATCTCCGGTCAGTTTCTAAGAGCTTAAGTATTTCACATGTGCATACTCTATGGGCTGCTTTTAATTTTTAGCCAGATTATAAATGCAGTGTGTGTCAATAGAGGAACTTTCTCTTCACTTCCTGTTCTGTCTGACACTGTTTACCTGGACAAGAAGCAAGGAGAGTTCTCTTAGAGACTGTCAGGAAGGTAGAGCTTGATCTGCCCACCATTGCTGACCTTGGCCTGTGACCTGACTATTTTTCTGCCTGCCGTTTATGCCTACCTGCCCATCTGTTACCAACCCAGCTTGTCTGACCCTGCGTCCAGTTCTGCCAGCCTGCTCTGTTACCAGCCTGTCCTGCCGTGGCATCTGCCTGCAGCCAGCCTGCTCTGCTACTTGTCTGTTCTGCTGTGATGTCCACCTGCTGCCATTCAGTTCTGCTGTGCCAGTTTACTCTGCTGTGACACCTATCTTCTACCAGCCTGTCCATCCGTGATGTCTGTCTGTCTGCTGCCAGCCTGCTCTGCTACCAGCCTGTCCAGCCATGACGTCTGTCTGCTGCCAGCCTGCTCTGCTACCAGCCTGTCCAGCCATGACGTCTGTCTGCTGCCAGCCTGCTCTGCTACCAGCCTGTCCAGATGTGTCGTCTGCCCACTGCCATCCTGCTATACCATCAGCCTGTCCAGTCGTGATGTCTGCCTGCTGCCAGCCTGCTCTGCTACCAGCCTGTCCAGACGTGTCATCTGCCCATTGCCAGCCTGCTATACCATCAGCCTGTCCAGCCGTGACGTCTGCCGGCTGCCAGCCTGCTCTGCCACCAGCCTGTCCAGCCATGATGTTGTCCACTGCCAGCCTGCTCTGCCATCAGCCTGTCCAGCCATGACATATACCCGCTGCCAGCCTGCTCTGCCATCAACCTGTCCAGCCGTGACCAAATAATGTTTTTATCAACATTCTTAGTATGTATAGCTGGGTATGAAAGCATACTTTGGGGAAGCCATATTTGCTTGATACACACAGTATATGTAATATTCATACTGCTTTTTGGTGAGCAGTGATTTTTATTTTTCTTTCTTTTTCTCCCTTTTATTCATTTATTCCTTTTCTTACTTTAAATGAACCTGTAAAGACAAAAATCAAGGAGCAGCTATTGCTGAATTGTCGTTCATTCTCAGGGACTGTCATCCTTATCTTTGCTTCACTACTTTTTTGAGCTACTAACCTGGAATAAAATATGTAAAAGCTCTCCATCTCTCACTGTGCACTGAAAAAAACCTAACTGACTCACAGGGGAAGATATACTAAAACTGGTGCAGTAAGAGTCTGGGGCAGCTGTGCATGGTAGCCAATCAGCTTCTAACTTCAGCTTGTTCAATTAAGCTTTGACAATAATCCTCCTGCACACTGCACATTCTGATAACGCTGGTAACGTTAGCTTTTTTGCATTAGCATTTAGCGGCGTTTTGCCTCATTTAGTGGTGTTTTCCCGCATGTTTCCACATTTGCGGTTTTAGAGGTATTTTTAACCAAAAAAAATATTTTTTTTTGGTCAGAAAAATCCAAAAAGGCCAGTTTGTGGCATTTTACTGCGTTTTGCCGCGTTTAGAGTGTTTTTACAGCTAAAATTCCTCTAGAAACCCACTAGGCCTGGGTTTTATTTCCAGCCAAAAAATGTCCCTGCCAAAAAATGCTGATTACAGTCTAGGATAACATGCTGGGGGGTTTATAGCTGTAGAAAAAAATGTCAAAAGCCAAAAACAGCAGCTGTAAAAATGTCCAGTGTGCATGAGGACTAAAATTTGGAATCTGATTGGTTTCTGTGCAGAGCTGCGCCATATTTTGCACTCTCCAGTTTTAGGACATAACCCCACAGTGTCCAACATTACACTTTATGTTGCATATCTGCCCTACAGTAGACTGTGGGTACTCAATATAAAGACAGGCATACAAGTATGCTACAATTTTAGGCTGCTTCAACACGTCTCTGTTGCAAAAACGTGGTAAGAACGCATATGCATTTTTTTCTGCGTTTCTGCTGCGTTGCCTGACATCAGCCTGCACCTGCACCCCGCAACTGGGGATGTGTTTCTGATACGTTTTGCATTAATTTCCATGGGCGGATGCATCCAAACATGCACCAAAAATGCAGCATGCAGGACTTTTAAAATGCAACTGACCCAACACTGACTGGTGTGAATAGGCACATAGAATTTAATGGTTATGTATTTTTCTTCTGCTCTTTGTAACTGAAAAAACTGATTAGTGTGAAAGCAGCCTTATAGTACTTTTAATATTTTTTTTTTTTAGTGAACATAAATTGAACTAAATATTGATTTTATGTCTGCCCAGAGCTCCACTTGATTTTATTGTTCACATCTAAGTATACGGTAACTGGAATGAAGATAATTACATGTTTATGCTTCCTTGTGAGTACATACCATAGGCACATATATATAGCTGAAGAAAGGGAAATGTATAATGTCAGACTGCAGTTAACTTATAAGTCAGCAAATTGTGTGTTTTCTATGAACTCTGAGCGATACTGTCTCATACACCACCTGTTTCCTCCTTTGTGGACACTTCAAGAATCAAGCAATAAAACAACTAGTTATTCAAAGTGTGAACCTTTGAAGTTATTAACAGTGTATTATAGATTTGCCCCTGAAAGCTACGAGTCCTGCTGTGGATAAAGAAGGGAGTAGACTGTTGGCTTTAGTTTACTTAATTATAGCAGTGGATTGTGGTACATGAAAAGTGATTTCCAGCTTCCTGCTTTGAACCATGCTTCCCAGTAAATGATTTTTTCATAGTTTCTCAAGCTCACCCCCTTACAAGTAATAGAAAGGGTTTCTTCTAAGACACCAGAATCTATTGTGTACATAACAAAACCAGGAATAGTAGGGAAGAATTTATTGCTTTACAGATGGCTACGCCAGTTTCTTTTCCTTTCAGCTTTATAAAAATTACTAGATTAGCCCAAAGATTATTTTGCCAACACAATAAAAAAAAGAGTTATATATTTTATGAATTTGTAAATTTGAATTTTCTTTACAAAATACAGAAGAAGCTAAGACATTAGTTGTACAGATTTGAGCTTTGAGTGTGGTTGTTATAGAATTGTTAGATTTTTTTCAAAACCCAATATTCTATCTTTATATGCATCAAGGTTTAGATGAATGTTTATATCATAAAAGTTGGCAAATCGCAATAGTAACGAATTTCAATGGATCTGAAATAAATTATAATGAAAACAACAAATTAATTTGTTTCATTTGGATGACAAGAAGCAATCGTTTGGGCCTTTTGGTATTGTTTGAAGCATCCAAAATAATGTAAGGACCTAAAGAATGATCCAAAATTATTCAGATGTATTTGTTTTTATTTTTGTGAGCGTACCGTGAATATTCTAATAATTAGCCGATTCTTTTTGCATTAATATTTTTCATTATTATAAGAAAATGCATTACATATGAACTGGAAATGTATTGCAATAAATACAGTAAGGTAAGAAAGTTAAATAAGATGATACCTACTTATTGTGTTTGGGTTGGATCAAGGTGGATCCATCAGAATCTCCCAATCATAACATAACAAATGAATCTGAAATTAATTTCATTCCATTCGTTAATTTCGGATTCATGCTACTCTAGTCGATATCATCCAACCAGCTCGTCCATTTTATTTGTGGGTTGAACTAGCAGGGATGACTCAGAGTACATAAGTAATCTCCAGAAGTAGCGAATTAGCATTAAAGTGTATATAGCCAATCTTCCTAAAGAATGAAATGCACTTTCGAAAATACGAGTCGATTCAGAACAACAAATACATACTCTCCAAAAATAATGAAAACTTTCCAA